TATGCAGGAATGGGATAAAGAGGCTAGGTCCTTTCAGAGAACCAGCATAACAAAGAAACCTACAGAATAAGAAACGTAGGCCATTCAGCCCTTTCAGTCTGCTCTGCTATTCATTATGATCGTGGCTGATCATCCAAGTTAAAAGCATTTTCCACCATATCCTTTGATCTCTTTAACCCCAAACTCTCCTTCAAATCATACAATGTTTTGGCCTCCCCTGTTTTGAGAGTATAAAGGGAATAATAACAAGGAACTTAGGTAAGCTGTGGGAGCATACAGACAATTCAGGGGGCATAGACATATTATACAATCATACAGCATCGGGTAGGGCAGATGCAGGAAGGTTGATCCTGACGATGGGGAATCCAGAGCCAGGATCACAGCCTAAGGATACAGGGTCTGCCGTTTAGGACTGAGATGAGTGGTGTGCCTGTAGAATTTGCTACCACAGGAATCAATCAAAGCTAAAACATGGTAAGATTTCAAGAAGAAACTAGACATAGTACTTGGTGCTAAAGAGATCAAAGGGCAAATGGAGAATGTGGGAACAGGGCAGTGAGTTGGATGATCAACCGTGATCATATTGAATGATAGAGCAGACTTGAACAGCCAGATGGTCTACTCCTGCTGCTATTTTCTACGTTGCTACGGTAGGGTAGAAGTAGGCAAAATATTTCCACTGGTGGCAAGACCAAAACGAAGACTCAAATGCAGATAGTCACTAAGAAATTCAATACAAATTTAAGGAGAAATTTCTTCATCCGGAGAATAGTGACAATGTGGAATGCTCTCCCACAAGCAGTGCTTATCGTCATTGCATTTGAGGGGCCATTAGACAAGGACATGGGAGAAAGCAATGAAAGCATATGGAGGTACAATGAAGTGAAGCATGGTGGGAGAAAATGCGTACAGGACAAAAACCGAAAGAACTGTGCATGTCCTAAATCATAAACATAAGCTGCTGCAAAAGCTCAGGAGGTCTGGCAGCATCTGTGAAGAAAAATCAGAATTAACATTTCAGGTCCAGTGACCTTTCCTCGGTGCTGAGGAAGAACCAGACCCAAAATGTTAACGCTGACTTTTCTTCACAGATGCTGCCAGGCCTGCTGAGCTTTTCCAGCAATTTCCGTTTTTGTGTGTGTGTAAAGGATAAACACTGGCATGGACAGACAATAGAAGACTATAACAGATTTATGTTTAAGAGGCATCTTGACAGATACATGAATAGGTAAGGAATAAAGGAACACAGACCACATACAGACAAGAGGTTTTTAGCTTAGAAGTGTATCATGTGTTGGCACAGTCTTGGTGAGCTGAAGGGCCTGTTCCTGTGCTGTTTTTTTTAATCTTTGAGACACAATCTTGCATGTCAGTCCATTAAACAATGCCTCATCTTCAGATCTTTCAGCTATACTTCGGTCTATATCACTATCATTTCACAAGTTTCAACATGTTGTAATTCATCCATACCTATCACTTTCAGTTTCTTCCTCCCAAAGAATTCAACGACACAGCCCAGTGGCAGAGAAGGTTCCCCTTGCTCTTGAACCGTCAGTCATTGTCTTCCATTGTGTGTTTCTCATTCTCTAGCAGGAGTTTTTTGTCATTATTTCTGCAGCTGCAGTATGTACTATCTACACAATACATTGCAAAAATTCACTGATTCATTAAAAAGCACCTTCCAAACTTATCGTTACCAACCAGAAGGGCAAGGGCAGTGGATATGTGGGATTAGCTCTATCTTCAATTTCACATCCAATCTACTCCACTGATTTGGAAATATTTCACTGTTCATTCACTGCTGATGTGTCAAAATTCTGGATTCAGTCCCTAACAGCATTGTGGGTGTACCTACACAATGTGGATTACAGATGTTTGAGAAGACAGCTTACCACCATCTTCTCAAAAGCAAAGTATGGACAATCAAAGCTGGCCCAGCCAGTGAAATCTACATTCCCTCAATCCTGCTCCATCATTCAATAAGGTCATAGATAATCCGTTTCTGTTTCAACTTCCACATTCACATTTACTCCCAATTAACTTTGATTCCCCTGCCTGGCAAAAACGTATCTACCACCGAATTAAAAATATTCAATGATATTATCTCCGCCACTTTCTCTGGCAGTGAATTCCAAAGTCTCTCAACCCTCAGAAGCATGAACCACAAGAGGAAAACATCCAATTGCAGCAGCCCACAGGGAAGACCAATAGATTGCTAGCCATTATTTTAAAGGGAATGGAATATAAAAACACAGAGATCTTGCTAAAATTATAAAAGGCACTAGTACGATCATACCTGCAATATTGGAAAGAGTTTTCCTCCCAATCTTTGTGCCATCTGCAAATGTAGTTACTATAAGCTCAATCCACACAAAGTCACTGACATAAATTATAAAATATTGTGGTCCCAGCATAGATCACTGCGGAACATTAATCTTCATCACATCCTACCAGTCAGGAAAAGACCTATTTTTCTATACTTTCTAAGGGCACTTATCGCCATGTGCTATTGTCCTTAACTCTGGGCCAGAAGGACCAGATTCACATCTCACCTGCTCAAGAGATTCTTTTTAAATTCACTAGTTGGACATGGGCATCGCTGGTTAAGCCAGCATTTATTGCCTATCCCTGGTTGCTGTTGAGGTGGTGGTGGTAAGTTGCCTTCTTAAATCTCTGCAGTCCACGCGCTGTCGGTACACTCGCAATACCATTATGGAGGGAGATCCTGAGATTTTGACTCAGTGACAGTGAAGGAACAGCAAAAAATTTCAAATCAGGAAGGTGAGTGGTTTGGAGGGAAACTTACAGGAGCGGTGCTCCCATGTATCTGCTGCCCTTGTCCTTCTAGATGAAAGTGGTCATGGGTTTGAAAGATTACATTTAATATCTTTGATGAACATCTGCAATGCATCTTGTAGAAAGTACACACTGCTGTGTCAGTGGTGGATGGACTGCCAATCAAGCGGGCTGCTTTGATGGTGTTGAGCTTCTCAAGTGTTGTTTGAACTGCACCCATCCAGGCAAGTGGGGAGTATTCCATCACACTCCTGACAGTACATTGTAGATCTTGCAGATAGTGGACAGGCTTTTAGAAGTCAGGAGGTGAGTTACTCACTGCCGTATTCCTAGCCTCTGACCTGCCTTATAGCCACTGTATTTGTATATATTTTCTTATCAACCTGAGATGGCATCACACACCGCTGGAGCAGGTGGTACTTGAACTCAGTGCCAGAGGTATGGACAGTACCAATGTGCCACAACTGTATTTATTTGGCAAATCTAGTTGAGTTTCTGGTCAATGGTAATCCCCAGCATGTTGATAATAGGGGATTCAGCGATGCTAACGCCACCGAACATCATGAGGCAATGTTTAGATTCTCTTTTATAGGAGATGGTCATTGCCTGGCATTTCTGTGGTGCGAATGTTACTTGCCACTTTTCAGTTCAAGCCTGGATACTATCCAGGTCTTATTGCATTTGTGTCATAATATTCTGAACAAGTTGGTTAAAAATATCTGCAAACTCTTTTCTACCTGCCAACTCTCTCCTTGTGCTAGTATTTTACCATCTACACCGTGAGCTCCTACATTGTACAATAACCTTTTCTGTGGAACCTTGTCAAAATGCCTTCCAGATATCCAAGTCTAGTACATCGATGAGCTCCCCTTCATCCACAGCTTGTTAATTCCCAAAACCTTCAATAGATTTGTTAAACATGATTTCCATTTCAGAAAACCATGCTTGCTCTTTCCAATTATCTTGAGCTGTTCTAAATGCCCAGTTATAACCTCCTTAATGATCAACTCTAACACCTTCCATGAAAGAACACTAAGCCGAGTTTCCTGTCTTCCTCCTTTCTTGGATAGAGGGGTTATATTTGCTATTTTCCAATTTAATGGAGCCTTTTCAGAATCAAGTGAATTTTGGAAAATTGAAAGCAATACATCCACTAACTTCATTATCAACTTTTTAAAATTCTAGGGTGAAGTCCATATGAACCAAGGATCTTGAGTGCCCACAGCTCTATCACACTGCTCAGTGCCAAGCATGTAACAGCCTTGCCTGCCATACCACACCACCCAATTCCCCAAATGTACGCCAGCCTTGATCCCCCCTCTCTTTCACCTCCCTCTATCCCATCAACATTGTCTCCCTTCCCCTGCTCTCTCCTACTTCCTGTTCCCTACAATCACTGTATCTCGCCTACTCTCACCCCATCCCCACCTCACTCTCTTAAGCGCCTTCACCTCTACATCTCCTCACCCGCCTCAATCTCTTCCTAACCCCTCTTCTCACCCCACACATTCAGTTTTCCCATATCCACTTCCCCGACCTCTCCTCTTCCTATTTTCTCTCCCCATTCCACCCACACCTCCCCCTCGCTCCCTACCCCCCAACATCCTACATGCTCTCTCCCCCGCCTTTCTCTTTTATTCCCACTCCACTACCCCACACGTCCTGTCCCTTATCCCCATTCCCTCTCTACTGTCCCTTGTCTCCCCCAATCTCCCCAGCCATTTCCCTTTCTACCCCTATTTTCCCTTCCCTTGTCCTCCCCCCTCCCCTCTCCCTCTCTCTCTCTCTCTCTCTCTCTCTCCCCCCTCTCTCTTTCTTTCTTTCTTTCCTTCCTTCTCTCCTCCTCACTCACTCCTTCTTTCTTTCTCTCTTCCCTTCCCACCTTCCCTCTCTCACTCATTTACATCCCCCCTCCCCCCCCCCCCCCC